TGTGAGTGAGCATGAGGATTTTGAAGTTGACTCGAACCTGATAGGAAGCCAGTGTAAAGGACTCCTAGACAGGTGTAATGTGATCGCTTGAATGGAATCTGATCGATATTCTGGCTGTCAAATTCTGAACATATTCTAGTTTGTTCAATGTGAATTTAAATTTACCAGAGAGTAGGGTGTTGCAGTAATCAATTCTGGAAAAAACAAATATATTGATCAGCTTTTCTGAGACAGTTAAAAACAACAAGGAATGTAGTTTGGTGATATCTCTGAGATGGAACAATGCTGTTTTTCCCATATTTTCCACATAATGTGCAAAAGTCCAGCCACAATCAAGTATCACAACGAAGTTCTTCAGTTTTGATTGATATTAAAACATAGTGTCATCCACAAATGAACTTACTGCGTTCGTTTTACGTAACCGACGGGAAGTGCCACATGGAATAACTTGTCGCAATTGAAATGAAGGACATTATGAGTCATCTGGGTTTCTATATAAGAGATGTAATTTCAGAGTGCAGAAACAGCTGCTTCAATGACAGGTTTAATATGGACGTAAATGTGAGTATCATCAGCATAAAAATGATAATTCAGACCAACAATTCAAATATCATCTTTATAACTTGTATACCCAGTACAACCTGATTTATTTTTGTCATAATTATAATTATTGAGTTAAATATAAGATATTTTGTTACTCAATAAATAAGAGACTTTAATTGTTTTGAAACATCATACCCGCCGTGAAACTGAATAATTTTCTATGGGAAAAAAAAGATGAGGAAGAAAATCAGTCAGTCTTTTTCTGTCAGTTGATTTCTGTGATTGTATCAATCATTTTTAAACAGAATCTGTAGTGTGATCCATTTGGTCATGACAGAATGTTTTCCTGATTCACATGACCCACACAGACAACAGGGTGAGTGCTCCATACTGACCCCTCTAATACCTGTTCCAGCAGAAAACTTAGTTTTTCCAGGTCTCCCATCGAGGTACTGACCAGGCTCACACCTGCTTAGCTTCAGTGGCCTGTTAGTGGTGAGTTA